TTAATTATTAACCAATAATAGTTAATATATATAATAATATTATAAAAGAAAACATGTAAACAAACGCTAATACTTTAGCGTTAGTATTAAAGTAAAATAATGTAATAAATAATTAATAATAAAGAATAGTTATATTTAAAATAGTTAAAGATACTTTATATTAGTAAGAAAATAAGGCGAATAAACATTTATTATTATATATAACTAAATTGTTTTATTCATTATTTAATTACTGATTTCTTTATAAATTTTAAATTATAAAAACATTACATATAATACTAGCTCGTGTGGAGAGGTTGTTATTTATTTATTATTGTAATATTTTTTTATATAAAATAATATATATAAATCTATCCCTCTTATAGAAAAAATATAATAAACCTTTTACAAAAGTGACCACAAGTTCAAATACTTAATTCTAAATAGGTTTAGAAAGTGGTTATATTTGTATGTAATTGAATGATTTATTTTTACTTGCTCACTTGCTCATTCTACAAGTTTATATAAATACTAAATATAATTTAAAGTTTTAAAAACATCTTGTTTTATAATATTAGTTTATTTATTTAGAAAAAATGTATAATACATCTCGCTATGTATTATAAAAGAAATATATTAAAAATTAATTTATTATTTTATTATTAAAATATTCTAATTTTCCTGGCTAATTAGTAACAGTTTTTAAAATAATGTTTTCTATTTCAATTTATACTATTTAATTACATTTAAGTTTGTTTATAAACAAAAATTGTTTATATTTTACATTTTTAAAATTTAATTAAATATTTATATTTTACATTATTTTAATTGTTTACTATTTTAATTTAATATTAGATTTATAATAAAATTTTTAAGTCAGAGTTTATATTGATTGATTATTTATAAATTTTATTCTTTATCAAAAGTCTGTCACAATACCATATATAAAAATTTAAAAAATTTTGACACATGGAAAAAAAATAAAATTTATTTTTTTAAATTTTTATTAAAAAAATTCAAAGTATAAAATTTCTAATCCTTTGAGATTATTAAATTTTTTTCAATTATTAAAATTTTATTATTAAAAATTTTATTTTAAATTTATTAACTATTTACAATAATTATAGTAATTATTAATTTATAAAAAATTAAATATTTTATAATTAAAACAATAGTTAATTAAAATTAAAAATGTAATAATTAAAATTGTTCATGTATAAAAAGAACAAAAATTGACAAAAATTACGAAGCTTTTAGCGTTAGTAATTTTTTTTTTACTTAAAGTCAATAAAATTTATAAACTCCTATAAAACCTTACAATTTTAAAAATTTTTAATATTTTTTAATAACTTAATATATTTCTGATATTAAGTTATTACTAAAATAAGATATTATTTAATTTTCTTTATATAAATATCATTAGCTTTACGCCTTTAATAGGAAAGCGTATTATATTTGTTAGTTAATATAAACTAGTGTGCTTACCACACTTTTCTTTAATAAAAAATCGCTTTTTTTTATAAAAGCTATAAAGTAGTCACTTTTGGCGGAGTGGTTAACGCGGTGGCCTGCTAAGCCATTTCCCTTTGGGGAGCGCAGGTTCGAGTCCTGCAGGTGACGAAATATTTATGCGGAAGTTGGCGCAGTCGGGCAGCGCGTAAGTCTCATAATCTTAAGGTCGTGAGTTCGAACCTCACACTTCGCATATTATTTTAAATAGAATTTTTTTTTTTTCTTTATTTTAAAAACCATGCATAAATATTAAACTATAAAGCAATATACCGATATATAATAATAATAAAACACAACAACAACAAACCAACAACAACAACAACCAACAACAACAAACAACCAACAACAACAACACAACAACAACAACAACAACAACAACAACAACAACAAACAACAAACAACAACAACCAATAATAATATATTCATTATCGTCATAATCAAATGTTTTTTTATTTAGTTATTTTTTTTTTTTTATTTTATTTTAAAATAATAAACTAATAAAAAAATTTTTTACTTAATTTTATTTGGTTATTTATAAAATATATTCATTATTAGTTTTGCTTATTAAGTTATGCTAATGTTACTAATATTTTATTAATTATATTATTAAATTGCTAATCTTTCAAAGAACTTCAAAAACTACTTTAATTCTTTGTTTAAACACTTTTTCTTACATTTAATAAAAATGCATTGATATTAATAATAAGAATAAAAATAAAAATAGAAATAAAATTATAATTTTAAACTAAATATTAATATTAATATTATATAATACGAATTGTCATAAAATTGTGTAAAGCTAGACACAAAATCGAATAGATTACGACATCTAATCTTTTACAGTAACAACACAGAATAAATATGTTTTTATATAAATTTTTTTTATTAATTTACTGTAATAAAATTGTTAATCACAATTACATCGATAAAATGATGAAAAATACCTTCTATTTATATTTTTCCTAAATACATTTATATTATATTATAACTATTTATTTAATATTGATATAAAATATAAATTATAAACCTTAATTATTATAAATTGGTAAATATATAATAATTACATAAAATCCATAAATTTATTTACTACAAAAATCTTAAGTTTACATAAAAAGTTATAGTCGTGGCGTATATTTAAATTATGATTATCACGAGATATTATTGTACATAAATAAATGTTATTTCTTATTTCATTAATGTTTCTATATTTATTTTATATATTATTACTAATTTTATTATATTTATATTATTTCTAGTTCTAAATTAAATTTTATATTACTTATTCTTAAATTAAATATTTAGTATATATTATGGAAAATATGAATTATTGAAAACACGTTTTGTATTATTAATATTAATAATCAATAAAGTATTTAATCACAAAAACCCTTGAAAAATAAGATTGAATTGAACCGTGTTATATTATTTGGTGGAGATATCGGTTCTTTTAAGGGAGGAGTGATTGTAGTTGTATTTTAATTATTTTGAATAGTAGTTGCTGATTTAAAATAATTTTACTTTGTGTTATTTATATATGTATATATATATAATGTATTCTATTATAAAAATGCCTGAAGAAGCTTTAAGACAACAAAATAAAATCCTCACACTTCAACGTGTCACTGGCATCAGTGATAAAGATAATGATGTTGACATGTGGTATGAACAAATATGCACGCTTGGACGGACCTTCACAAGATCGACCGACAAGAAGGAAATCTACGAATGGTGCTTACTTACTGTCAAGGGTAGCGGTGCCAAGGAGATTAGAAGATGCATTACTCATGGTCCAAATGGAAAAATCTACCCAGACTTGGAGACCATAAGAGATATTCTCAAAAATTTGTACGACCTGGAATACAAGCCGGAAGATATAATTGACGACTTAAAGTAATTAAAAATAGGCAACAAAGAGGATATCAAAGAATTCAATAAAAAGTACAAAAGTAAGTATAATCAACTTGAATCTTTTGATCAAAATGGTATTACTGTGGCGACTATTTAAATGCAATTAAATCAAGAACGGAATTATGGAAAGGTGTTAAGCTAACTGGTAGATGGATCAAATTAAATGAAGCATTCAAAATTGCAGAGTTATATGACAAAGTTGATAAGGAAAATGAAGAATAAATCTACTAGTAAGTCTTCTTTTGGCTCCTCTTCTCGAGTAAATAGTGGTAGTGGGGGAAACTCTAGTTTTCAGAAGAAAGCCAATATTAATAAGCCTGAAGAATATAGTGAGAGGATTAGTAAAAAATAATACCAATCCTTTCAAAGTTCAATTTGTTATTTCTGCTGTAACTCTGGTCACATCTGGTCACAAGAAGAGTAGTTGTCCTGAGTATTCTAAATATGAATGTATGAAATATCAAGATATGATGAGTCGCAGTAAACATAACAATAACTTTGAAGAAGAACACTCTAGTGACTCCGAAAATGATTCTTTAAACTATTAGACGGGAGTGAGCGTTCTCCCGTAAATAATAACGCTCCAGAAGAAATGAAATATTATTATGTGGATAGTATCAAAAGAAAGAAGATGTCCTCAGAATCTGAAGTTGAAATTAAACATCCTAAAAAGTAAGCAAAAGAAAAGAAAAAGGTTCATTTAGATGAAAATATTGAAGGAGACAAAAAGAAAACTTCTCAAAGTAATACAAAAAAACCAAAAAGGAAAATATTACTACCTCTCCTGATGAAAGTCTACTTGATAATATTAATAATTTGGATGCATCAAATCCAAATAATATATTCATTAAGACGCATGATAGTTAATAATTAATTAAATAATTATTAAATAATAATTTTGATATTTTAATGAAAAATTAATTATAAAATTTATTGTATAAATTTTATGGAATAATTAAATAAAGATTAATTTTAAAATATCAAAGTTAGAAATGAAATTTGGATAAATATTTAAATTAATGGATAATTAAATTTAAATATTTTAAATATTCAAATTAAATCTTAAAAAGTTTTTATTTAATTAAAATTAGTTTAATAACTTTAGCGTAGTTTTAAATTAGCATTTTTTTAATAGCAAAGATATAATAAATAGTATTATTAATATTTAATTAATATATAGGTAATACATGGACTGTATTTAATTTATAGTTTACTCAAATTGAATCAAAAGTGTATTTAATTAGTTTTAGTTTAGTTTTATTATTTTATTATTTAATTAAATTAGTATTAATTTAGTTTTGTTTATTTTCTATTGAATATATATATAATTAAATAGAATAGTATATTAAAGTATATTTTACAAAAAATATAAATACATGTAAAAATTTCAAAATAAAACAATGTAATTGTTATTGACTATTATTTAGTTAATAACTAAATAAAATTAATAAAAAGAGATATTTAAACATATTTTTTTTTTTTTTTTTTTTTGTTTTTTTTTTATTTTATTTTTGTGTTTTTGTTTTATTGTAAAATTTTATAATCTGTTTTAAATTTTTATAAAACTTTTACAAATAGTGATAGCGATATTAAAAATAATAGTAATGGTGTAGATCATAAAAATTTTAATAAAGAAGATATTAAAAACTATATTTATGAAGTATCAAATATAAAGAATAATAGTAAGAGTAAGTTTAAAACATCCAAAAAGGAAATAGATATTAGTACAGAACATAATAAATTAGGAAATAGTAAAATTAAGGAAAGTAGTACTACTCCTAATTTGGAAAGTAATCAAAATAATTATGTTCCATACATGGAAAGTAATATATTTGAAATTTGAAAAGAAAATTTTGTCACAAGGCAATTCACGTGATAACATAAATTGTAAGAATATGGCAGACATACCAAATGTTGTAAAACAGGAAGAAGTGTCAAATTATAACACCAGACATACGGTGTTAGCAAAAGTTAATAATATGGAACCACATGATATCAGTAAAGATTTGATAAATACTAAATGTAATATTACATTTGGACAAGTTTTGGACAAGTTTTGGACAAGTTTTGGACATATGTCCAAAATTAAGAAATGAACTATTTAAAAATTTAAAATTAGACAAAGTTCAATTTATTGGTTCCATTGATAAAGATAAAGGATCATTTCTTTATAATATGAACAATACACACAAGATTCCTAATAATTTTAGAGAAGACGACCTTGGTGTTGTAGCCTGTTCTGTGGATGGTGTAAATGGGAAATTATTAATTGATTCAGGAAACAATTTGGATTTGGTAACATACAGTTACTTAAATAGTCTCCCAGGACAGTATAAACTAGTTGGCTTCTGTAGAGGTCGTATATCCGAGACTCTAGATGATAGTACTATTGCTGATGCTATTGTAGTCCGTTTATGCGTTAAAATAAATAATTATGAATTTGCAGCTGATTTTTGTGTTGTTAAACATAAAGCTACATATTTTGATGTTCTTCTAGGTTTGAAGTCTACTACTGATAATGTTTTTTTAATTCATCCTTTTACCAAATCGTCATGTAGGTTTAAAGACATCAATAACTTCGAGAATATTTCTCCATTACTCGAGAATCAAGAATTGCCTATTATCACTTGTTTTGTTAAATATATAGGTCCAACCAAGAATTGTTTTTTCTCTTAATTGGGAAGAAGAGATTTCCGATAATGATATGGTTACACCAAATATGAATGTTGGTGCGAAGTCCTTGTCTCCATATGATTATATTAGGTATATTAGGAATCCTGAATTTTTTGTCTGGTTTAGACCCAGCTTATAGAAAGAATGTTACTAACCTTCTTAGTGAATATATTGATGTGGTAGCTACATCTACAGAAGAATTAACTCCATCTAAATTAAACCTGCACCACATCGAATTAAAGCCTGGTTCCGTTCCGTTCAAGAGTCGTTTTTATGGTCTGAATAAGGCTAAGTCAGATATTCTCAAGGAAGAGTTATCAAAACTCTTAAATAAAGGACTAATTAAACCTTCGAAGTCTTCTTGGTCATCTCTTATTGTTTTAGTCTCAAAGAATAATGGTAAATGGCGCTTGTGTTGTGATTATAGAAAATTAAATGGTATGACAGTTCCTGACTCATATTCAATTCCAAATATTGATGAGATTTTTCATAGTCTCCATGGCGCAAAGGTATTCTCTACGCTGGAC